AAATATTAATTAAAGTGGCAGCGGCAGAACATTAAGCTTCTGCTCCTCCTTTCAACTCTTGTGTTCTACTGCTTCTCCTCCCTCTTCCTCTTCTTTCCTCTTACCTTTCTTCTTATTTTCGATCCTGAAATCCATTAGGGTTCAAGACTGATAACAGTCCTGAACTTCTATATAAAAAGACCTCTGATTTAGACAATCTAGAAGACTTGTCAAGGTTGAAAGGGCATTAACTTGTAAGGTCCTAGTCTGGAATGTGTCATTGGGATTCTCTGTAGTGAACTCCGAGACATGAAGATTCTATGGTAGGTTGGACTTATAGTGCAACTGATATAGCTGAATTTCATCTTGCATTTATCATTGCAACATGAAGGATTGAGAGAGTAAACTTTTTCTAACTCTTGTAATATATACTAGTTTGACTATCAAATTATTTTGCTAGGTATATTATTTACTTTTCTGGATTTATGTTGATTCATTATTTTGCTCTTTCCCCATATCAGGATGTAACATTACATGATTTGGATGCTGCAAATGCTCGACCACAAGGAGGACAAGATATACTATCCCTAATGGGCCAGATGATGAAACCTAGGAAGACTGAGATAACTGATAAACTACGACAAGAGATAAACAAGGTTTTGTTTTATGATCTTTTATCTAATGACTGTGACCATTGTCTATTCTTTTTAATTTCAAGATAAAGTAATTTGGAGATTCCCAAATTCATATGGATTAAGCTTAGCTGAGGAGTTGTTGATGCTTGATGGCAGGTTGTGAACCGCTATATTGATGAAGGAGTGGCAGAGCTTGTCCCAGGAGTCTTATTTATTGATGAGGTTTCTATTTGTTCTGGCATTAGACTTGCTAAGGAAAGGAGAAGAGAAGAAAGAGAGCTGGGGTGGGGGTGGGGGGAGACAGTAGTCAGTCTGAAAAGAGATTAAACTGATCTCTCCCAATCAGCTGCTTATATATACTACTAAAACCGATTACTATACTGTTCTGTCCCTTATTAAGTATGGGACACCCTCATCAAGTATGGGACAGAACTGTACAACATAATATAAAGGAAAAAGACATAAACAACCCTGTCCACTCACAACTTAACACTTTTCCTTCAAACTTTTTTGCATTCTTTAAGCCCATTTTTGGATCAAGTTGTGAAAGGAGAGCATCACAGATTTCTGAGGTCAAACTGGTGGAATTTGTTCCTTTAAAATTCACCTACTTTTGCATTGAGCCCCTCATCTAATAGACTTGGCGGAAATGGAATCTGGTGAATCAGTTTGATTTTCCTTTTATTCCAAATTCCACCTTCTGTTAAGCATCCTAAAGAAGTTGTTAGCATTGATAGTTTCTCTGAATTATCCAATCATGATCTGCAGGTTCATATGCTGGATATGGAATGCTTTTCATACCTAAACCGAGCTTTAGAAAGCTCATTATCTCCAATAGTAATTTTTGCAACAAACAGAGGTATATGTAATGTGAGGTATGATTCTTAATCCTTCGGAGGTGTTAATGAATGTTGATTCTGCTTGGGCATTGTCCTTGCCAATTTTCAATTTGAGCAAGCCAGGTTTATGAAGAGTTTGGCAATTGAACTGTACCCCATATAAGGACCCAAGACCATATGTAATGGACTACACAGAAAGGGTGATGATTTTTTATATCCAGTGAAAAGACGGGAAATCCTTGTTCATATACTGTTAAGTTCTCTCCATCTTTTTGCGAGATTATACTGTTACTTGTCAGAAAAAAAAATGTGATAAAAATCAGTAGAAAAGGGTACCTTTGTCTTATTAAACAATTTCCGACCACTAAATGGGATTTGCTTTGTTTCCAAAAGATGTGGTGTGCCAAAACTACCATTTTACCGAGAATGTATATCCAGAAAGTAATAACTCACAAGTTATTTTTATTGTTATCATCATCCAAGTCTGATTTGAGTTACATGATTCTTTCTCAACCATTCTATTTTATATAGAACCATATCCTCTATTGGCACATATGCTTTCAAATAATTTTCTATTTCCTCAATCCTTATGTTACATGAATTTTTGTGTAGGTAGGTTGCTGGAATATGTCTGTGACCCCCGATCTTCGCATATGGGGACTTAGCTAAAAAGGGTCTGTCCATTAAAGAAAATGGTTACACTCTGTACACCCATGACATTTCTGTTGACTTGAGCAGCTAAATAGAATAGAGGGTCTGGAAATTAATTCTAGATCAGCATCCTCTCTCGGGCTTTCCTTTTGCCTGCTAGAGCTTTCTATCTGCATTGCCTCCAAAGGCCCTAGGGCAAAGGACAACCATGTCAAAACATTTCTTTTTTACCACCTATTTTAGTGACAGTGGAAATTCCTTCTTCTAAATAATTTGAATTAGATAGAAATGTATCGTTATAATTTAAAAACTAATTAAGGAAAACAGAAAGGTAATGTATAGACATTCCCGAATTCTACCTTTGTCCAATCACAAATTCCTCTTGTGTATAAGTCATCACAATCCAAGCCTTATCTCAACTATATGGAGTTGGCTAAATGAATTTCGTTTCATCATTTTATTCTGTTTAAAGCCATACCCATTTGTATTTCTTAAATGAATAGTGCAGTTAAAATAATTTTTGTATATGCACACATTATTTTCTGCAATGATGTGTTAGCCATGCCTTTTCATGAACATGTGCTTGCAGAGGCACAGATGTCAGTAGCCCTCATGGCATACCAGTTGATTTGTTAGATCGTCTGGTTATTGTACGGACAGAAACATATGGGCCTGCTGACATGATACAGGTTCTTTTTCTGTTATATATACATTGATATCATTGGAATATTTTTTTTAAAACTTTGAGGTGTAATATCAATTTCACATTTTAATGTGTTTTCTGGTTGGGCAGATTTTAGCAACTCGTGCACAGGTGGAGGAACTGGTAGTTGATGAAGATAGTCTGGCTTACCTTGGAGAGATTGGGCAGCAGGCATCTTTAAGGTCTTGTATTACGGTTGGATCTTTTTTTGGTCTTTCCATGGATTTCTGATTTGCTATGCTCCTTCATAGTATACCTTTCATGTTGCTAGGTTGATTGCTGTTAAGCCATTCTTGGCAGTAGAATGTACATAGGCCTTGTGCATATACATCATTGTACGCTAGATGATATGAAAATATACTTACTACAATGTCTAATACATGTAGTGACTCAGGTCAGTTTGCAGTTTTGCCCAACCTATTACCACCTGGCTACAAGCAGCCTGGGCCTAGACTCAGGTCCAATTCTAGCTTCCTAATTCTGGCCAACTTAACCATCTAGAGTTTGAGTTAGCTCAAGCAAGGTTCAAAATATCGATACGCCTTATACGCCGGTAGGGGCGTATCGGGCCATATCGGTACTTTTTTTTTCAAAACCGGTTCAAGGGGGTCGGTTTAAGGCTCCACCCCCTGAACCGGTCAGAACCCCGATACACCCCCTGTAGGGGCGTATCGGCTGATACGTGTCGATACTTTGAACCTTGAGCTCAAGTATCGAAGCTTAAAGCTGCGATGACAGCTCTATTCATAAGCTTGAATTCACTTTCTCAGAATTCAGAACCAAGGGTATTGAGTTAATGAAAGTTGGGGAAGTGTATCATCACAGGTGGGTGAGAGTTGTTGCCTGTTGAGTGAGCAGTAGAGTTGGGAAAGTGGGGGAGCGTAATTGGGCCAAGTTGATATTTGGGTCAGCTTTATGGCTCCTGCAGCAACTTTCTTTGAGTGACTATTTTCCTAGAGGGTGCATTTATAGATAACATGGCCAATATGTTTTGCTGGTAACAATACTGGACTCTTATGATTCAACAAAGCTTGCCTTCTCCTTTTCATGCAGACCTGCTGTTGTTTATATCTTCAGTGCTCCAGAATCAAGGACACATACATTGTTGTTTCCAGGGCATTCACATGGTAGAATACTGATATGTTTCATTCTATTGCCAATGGGCATATTTATACAGTAAGCTGCTGCAATAAATAGAAAGAAAGAAAAATAGAAAGAAGAAAAAATAGAAAGAAGAGAAAATAGAAAGAAAAAACTTTCTAAATCAATCCTTCCACAATCCTAGGAATATATACAATTCTATTTTCAGATCTGAACCAGTAACCCCACGTTTTCCAACAACTTTCAATGTGGTATTCGGAATGCTTGATACATTTTGGTCATCCTTTTGTTCATTCTCAATTATCTGATGGGGATCTAAGTTGTATTATCATATTAAAGTAACTTTAACCGCCCCTTCTACTATCTAGGGCATTTTAATCACCGGTCTCTGGAAATCATCTGCTTCTGTTACATCATGATTATATCCTTGCCTTTTGCCTGGGGATGATTATATTCTTGATCAGAATTTTATGGCTGTTGATGGCTGTAATGGCTTCTTGAAAGAATAAGAGAGAATATAGGGAGAGAAAGAAGAGAGAAAATACCTGGAATCACTCACTATGCCATATCAGGACCTGTTGTAAGGCCTTCTTCTTTCTAGAATAAGTTTTCAAGGGTGCTGATTGATTCCTATCAGGATGATTTCACCCTTTTCCTCCATGTTGTTGCTTTCACTTATCCATTCTTTTGGTTGGCATTGCCTCTACTTACCTTTACCAAATGGCCCCTACAACACACTGGCACTTCTTGCAATTTGTGAATTTATATTAGAGTTCTTATGTATTAATGTGCTACATTAGCTCCTCTTTTTATCCATTCATTTTGTCTGTTTAAATATTTTGTTTGTTGCAAACGTAGCATTTATATTATGCAGAAAAATTTGCTTGCTCTTGTACTACCAGAATTATGGTAGTACATAGTTTATTTGATGCATTTGGTAGGATCTATTAAGTCTTTTCAAACTGAAATACAGAAACTGTTTATCCTTTTAGGAACCTATGGTAGGGAATTTTTTAATTGAGTTACAGAAGTAATATATCCCTTTTTTTACTGAATTCATAGTCTTCCTACTGGTTGCATCAAATAATAAACTAATCAGTTTGCAGTTGGTTAAATCTTCGGGTTAGACTATGATACCTGAAAGACATGATATCTGAAGAACTTATAGCCAATCAACAGGTATCATAAATCAGTTATCAAAAAAAAAATCAACATGTATCATAAAAGAAGTAATCAACAGGTGGTATTCATCAACATCACGGGGTGCTTTGATTGGTCAAATCTCTTGCAGTACTACATCTTTCCAGTATCATAGATTTTCCCTTAATCTTCAACATGAGCCTTGTAAACTGAAGGCTATGGATTCACAAATGTACTAATAGATTTAATAAAATGTACTTCCATACCAGAGAGCATGTAAACATGCCCATGCCTGAAATGGTTCCTCTATGTTTCCTGTTGCATTGAGCACAAACTTAAAAGCATCCATGCATATCCTACTGCTTGTATGCATGTAGAGTTTTCCTTGCTATCTTTTCTTACACAAACTGCAATTGTTGTTTATTCAGGCATGCAGTTCAACTCTTAGCGCCTGCCAGCATTGTGGCAAGAATGAATGGTCGAGATAACATTTGCAAGGTACATATAAAACTTTGTAAACTGGACCCTATGAACATTCGGAATTTCTCAACTATGATACCGGAAAGGTGTGATACCTGAAGAACATTAACCAATCAGTAAGGTTACCAATTGGATGATACTGGTTGATTGGTTATCAGTTTTTTTAGGCACAGTACCTTTTTAGTATCATAGTTGGATTCAGAAATTTCTTGATGCGATGACTATTTTATCTTTCCATTAACATAATTAAAGGCGGATCTCGAGGAAGTGAGTGCTTTGTATCTGGATGCAAAATCTTCTGCAAGGCTTCTTCAGGAGCAGCAGGAAGGATACATCTCTTGATTACTTGTACCCAGTTCATCTAATGCACTCATCAGAAATTCTCAAACAGTACCAGCAAGGAGAGTGATATGCCATCGGAAGATGCAGATATCATTGGATTCAATTTTGGTCCAAGATGATAGCTGCCGGTTCAACCTTTTGAACATTATTCTGATGTTCTTGAATGGTTAATATGGTATCCCCATGGGTTGTGCACGATTGGCTCTGCATTTTCATGGTATAATTTGTTTGATATGTTTCTTTGACAATCGGGGTTCTATGGTTTTCTGGATGGATATTCTTAGAGCTTCTGAGATATTGTATTTGCTGAGAGCATGTTCAGGGTCAGGGATTCTACTCATGATACAGAAACAGTTGATATTGGATGGTTCTTAAAGGTGGGATGGGGGAACAGTGTTGTCCTCGAAGCTCCCCTCATTCTTAGTTCCCACCCCATGACGAGTATTTGAGTGCATAGTGGCTGCATTTCGTTTCAGCGTGTCATATGTTCTCCTTGAACATGCATTCAGAAGACCAAAATTTGAAACTGAGGCCCTCAACGTGGGACTAAACTTAAGTTCTGAGTATTTACCAAAAAAAAAAACTAAAGTTCAGAGTAACAGGACCCACACCCACCATTAAACGAGTCCTGCCATGGAGATCTGATGGACAATCACCCATCTGGTTGAAACTGAAACATTGGTATTGGCGTTGTGTTTCCACTGTTTTTTTAATCTTTGAACAGACAAGAAATTTCCCAGAATGTCTTAGAATGGAAGTCCAGGTCCATGCGATCTCGAGAATGGAGGAAAGTTCAAAAGTGTTAAACGAGCACGTCCATTTGTTATTCTGAAACTGAAACCCTGAACCTGAAGTACCAGGATTTTGTTATATTCTATGGTTTGATTTCTAGTGTACTGGTTTTTAATGTAATGGCCTTTCATGAATGGAGTTCCTCTCGGATCTTCCTGGTTGGCATTCATGGACACAAACAAGCAGCGAAGCGTACATACTTGTTTTTTTTTTCCAATATTCTCATCCAACGGTTTATACAGGATTTCTTTGGTAGATGGGGGACTATTTTTGTACTCTACCACTCCAAAATTGAAAATTCGAATTCTAGGTTGGATAAACTGGATGGTCCATCCCATCTTTAACCACGCTCTTCCGATACCATGTCTTCAGGGTTGGAGAGTTCAGATAGGAGCGCATGTTAACTAGGACTAGGAGCCGCAACTTGGGGACACCGTGGGCGTGGGCCGATGCCATATCTTTTCGCTATTATAGTCATAGTTCATAGATTTCCCTTTTCTAATGTTCGTCTCGGCAGCATAAATTTTCTCATTTATTTCAGCTTTACAAAAAAAAAAAAAGAAAGGTGCCAATCGATTAGTTGGTAATAAGGTTTTCTGCTGGGGATCGAATGCTGCCTGCACATGGATTGGGAGTTTATGGGTTTGGGCGTTTGGATCAAATATGGACTACGGAGCACAATAGGATCAAATACGAACTACGGACCACAACCGACCGAAACCCGAATGTGTAAAGGTCCGAACTCGGAAACTCTTTCCTTTCCGGGTGAGCCGTGAGCGCTTCTCCTAAAAGAGATCCTAACCGTCTGATTCATTGATCAATTCTCACAGTGTCCCATAGAAAACAGAGACTGGAAAGTCGGTGCACAGAGCCCTTTCTTTTTCTTTTCCCCCTCATCTACTTAAAGCATTTTTTCTCCCGAATTTCCCGCAAACAGAGAAGCTCATTTCAATTTGCCATTCAAAGAAAACAGGAAGAGCGAGAGAAACATGTGAGTACATGTCAATTTCTTAATCTCTGCTCATTTCCTGTGGAAAACATGTACTGAGTTTAGAAATTAGAAGCGATTTCCTCTTTATTTTACTTTATTTTTCTTTCTTTTTCTTTAAATGTTGTCGCAACTGATTTTTATTTGTTATTAAGGAGGCCTTCAATCAATCGTCCCCCAACTCCAGAAGCAGAGGAAGATCAAGAAAAAGAGCCTACCCTTCAAGAAATCATTAACATCAAGGTATGTTTATTTTGTAAATAACAAAGGAGTCACCCCCCCCCCCCTCTTTCGATTTTCAATATTTGCAGTTTAATTGGGCTGCGTTAAATATCCCGACTTAAAGGTAATGAAGGAGGACGAGAGATAACTAGAAAGTCTGCGTTTTCCCCAAAATATTCCTTTCTTTTGTTTAGATTTTTAAGGCTCGAGAATGTTAATTACGCAATTCGTCTTCATTGGTCTTCTTAGTTTGTTGCCTTTTTTATCGTTACCAAAAAAACAGAGAGTTGGTCCCAGCTTTAGCTCTTGGGAAGGGTAGACTGGATGCCGTCCTAACAAGTCTTGTTTTATGTTGTCTTTTTTAATTATCATTGTATAACTAATTTTATGTTATTTTGGCCATTTATTTTCCTTTAGTTGATTGAGAGTGGAGAAAAAGAACGACTGAAAGAGCTTTTGAGGGAAAGACTTACAGAATGTGGCTGGAGGGACGAAATGAAAGCCTTGTGCAGGTTTTCTCTTGTTCAATCTTTATTGTGTTCTAAGTTGCTAGATTCTATTTAATTTTAGTTATCATTTAATCTGGTTGGTTAGTGCATCTTGATTGTAAATAATTTAATCATTTCAAATATATTGTTAATATCTTCTTACTAAGCATTTGGGATACTAAAGTATTTGATTTAGTGGGAATATAAAATGAATGCAAATTTTTAGGAAATTTGCGAAGTGGATGACATCCTGTTTGAAACTTAGAATTCTAACTCCCATCATAACTAGGGGAGAAAATTTAGAACTGTTTTTTTTTTTTTTTTTTTGAAAACTTAGAACTGTAACCTAGCTTAAAAGTAGATAATAGGTTTCTAGGTATAATTTTTTCCAAACCTGGGGAACTTCATAAAAAGGCACCAAAGTTTGGAAGAAAGGAAAAACAGCAAATAGAAGAGAGAACAGTTTTTTTTTCTTGGTTGAGCATGTTTAAGCTGGTATTCCTATTTCTTGACTTCCCCCTAACCCCATTTCACAACTTTCCTACTTTCTTAGATGGATCTTCATTAACAGCTTGCCAATATTCCTATTTTCTTACCAAAAAAACTTAAATTTTATTTTCTTCATACGGAGGATGGCTAAAACTTCAGTTTATTTTATAATCAATGACGATACTAAAGGTAGCAATGAAAAAAGAATGATCGCTCATGCCCCAAGTCTAATGGACATGTTGTGAGAGGCTCAGCTGAGAGCTGACAGTCTTGGGTTTGAACGTGTCATTGTCTCCATGTGTCAACCGTTACCTACATTTTTGTTAGATCTTGAATGCTTTTGATTGGTTGTGAGATGGTGAATGTTGTTTGGCATTAATTGTCTTTTAATCAAATGGTTTATGATTTGACCATGTAATTTTGAACTTGAGTGCATTGTATCATTTTTAAAGGTAAGTTCGAAGATCTGTTGTACCCTGTAGCACTTTGATAATAGTTCTGCTGGAGGTTTCTATAGATGTCTTCTTATCCTCATCCTGGTTAAAAGAAAATTATTCCTCCTAGGACTGTTTGTCACTGTTTCGAATGGTTTTATTCTCCAGGAGAAAGCAAACTCTGAAGTGTAATCCTGATTTGCCTTTTATGCGGTATGTCAGATCTTTGTAATATTGATGCAAGAAAGGAAAGAAAAATGACAGATATCAGGGTCACAACTCATACTTCATAATACAGTTAATTAGCAGATACAGATATCAAAGGTCTGAGAATATGGTTGTCTTGTGCACTTCTGGATGGTGTTCTTTATCAGTGGCTGATGCCGGAGAAAACAAATCAAATTTGGATTTTTTTTCTGATTTTATGTATTTTTTGTAATGTAGGGCTATTTTGGTCATTTTTATGTTACCTGTGACTCTGGCCTGGTTATTTGATATTTAGTTGTGTTTAAAAATTGAAAGCCATTGGTTAAATGGTTTAGGAGTATTGAGTTTTCTCATGATAGTGACAAGTCTGCATTTACTTCTCATAGGATTGACCACCCTATAATAATGTCTGTATGTATTATGTAAAGTGCAAAAGCTTAGAAGGATAAATTGCTTATCATACCAAATTGCTCATCCTTTTGTGCCAAGTCATCTCCAATTGCTTATTATACCAGATTTTATGTCAAAACTTTACTTAAATCTCTAGGTTTCCAGAATATTTGACTTTTCTTCACAAAACAGAATTTTTTTTCCTTTTATAAAACCATTCATTGAAGCCTACCAACCCCCCCCCCCCCCCCACACACACCATCTATCCAAGCTAAATCTACCTACAAATTTTCATCAAAACATTCCAACTTTGACCTATTCTCCAATTCACAACTTTTCACAATTTTTGGAACAAATCTGCAGTTGTTGCAATCAAGTCTTGAGATTCTTCCTAAGCTAAACCACTCCTACCTTTAGTTCAAAGGTGGTCATCCCTAAACCCTTTGTAGCCCGTCATTATCTTCCTAAACACATCATTGGGTCATTCCAGTCCCATATCATTTGCTATTAGTCCTACATTAATTGGTATTAGAGCTGGTGGTTCTACATCCATACCCTATACATATTTTAATCCCACACAAGAAAAGTTATAAGATATTTTCCTTTCTACTCTTTGTTCAAAGTTCTGAGCTGGTTGGACTGTATGTGGACCATGTAGTGTAGTGTCTGTTTCATTGTCTAGTGAGATGTAACTAACCATAAAAATTCTCTGTTAATATAATTGTCATACCATTTACAGAAAAGATATTTTGAGTGTGGTATTAGATTGTGTGCTGTTACTTCTGAAGCTATCAACCCTCCCTCCTCTTATAATCTTATTACTTCTAAAGTCTGAGTTACTGGGGTTAGCTCAACATACTCTCAAAAAATTAAGGTTTTATCTACAAGCAAATGGACCCTTCTATCATGTACCCTCCTTCCCCCTGTGGGAGGAACAATAGCATGGAATTGCTGCTATACAGTCCTCTTCTAACCCATTTCTCACCAAGTGCTCAGCTAAAGCATTATATACCATTGGGATTGATCTGAAAGATGTCGAATGCTCCCTTGTGAAAATTTTGATATCCCTGATGTGAAATGTCAAATCTCCATTTACCAGTAGCCTCTCCTTTGGCCTATCTAATGGCATTGCTAGAATGACCTTTGACTAAGAGATGACCAAATTACTATCTGCCTTCTCAGTTATTAGCCCAGAAGGAAATATGGTTTACTTAAGCTTCATTTAATCTACCTTTCAAGAAGACCAGAAGCCCATACAAAAGGACCATCTTGCCTAGAAAACATGTCTGTGTTCACAACAGGTTGATTTATTATAAAAAAAAATCAAAATTCAGTCTGATATGCTGGGAAAGGCAAAGGTTAATATCTCTGCACACTTAAGGCTGTCATGAAGATGCGTGGATGACGGGTAGAAGGTTTATTCAAAGCTCATTCAAACTTATTTAGTGAAACTCTCTGCAGGTTGAGGCCCATTAAATGAGTAAGCAAGTAATCCTATTTTTTTCGAAATTAGTGCAGAAACAGACTTGTTTTCAAATGTTTGGCTATTTCTGTCATCCCTAAAGAATGTAATTTCAAACAATCTTCCAGTATCTCACCATCACCTCACTACTTGTCAACATCTTCAATACTCCACTCTGAGGTTGGAAAGGTGGCCAGTAAGGCCTATATTGGAATGTTAGATATCCTGGGCAGTGGCTCATTCTAAGAAAATGCAGTCAACTTTTTCCCATCATCAAGGCAATAGAAGCAGGCCCAAGGAGAAATGAATTTGTGGAATTCTCTTCCTTGTTACTTGGCATCATGGTCTTTCCTTTAAAGGCTTCATAAGCCGTCATAGACTTTAGCTGTGTAATGGTGGCTGCAAAAATTTTGGATGGTTTCTCTATGTCTGGAAGTTGATCCAAATATTCTCAGTGAAATAAACATTCCTTTTCTTATTGTAATGTTCATAGCCACTTGCATTGACATGCAAAGCCATCATTTCATAATATTCGCAATAGTATCTTATATTCTTACTGTATGTTAGTGTTGTCTGCCAATGTATTAGATTGTCTCTTTAAGGTTGAAAGTTGAACTATCCTGTTCAATAACCTATTTCCTATTTTGTTGTGTTAGTGTCATCTATGCATCTTATGCAACATAAACTCTGGTTTTCATTTCTAATTACATAAAAATAATATTTGTTAACTTTTAGTTGCAATCAGCTAACTTTTTGACATGTCTCATTTTTCCTTGATCATGTATCTATAAGCTTGATCTCCAACTCTAATCACATTTGTCATGTAATATTTTGTTTGAATGTGATGCCATCCTCGATGTCTGAAGGGTTTATCTTTTCTTTTCTTTATTTTGACTTTTTGGTGGGTACTAGGGCATTTACCAGGAAAAAGGGAAGGAACAATGTTACTGTAGATGACCTTGTGCATGTGATAACTCCAAAAGGCCGAGGTGGGATATTCTTTCTTATGCCTACTTTATACATTGGGAAGGAACAATGTTCCTCATCCCCTTGTTTTTTGTTATATTTTTCTGTCACAAGGTCTTGATTCTTGTTTTCTGTTAATCAATATTTGACAATTTTTTTGTTAAGTATCATGTATCTTTTAAAAATATAATGCTGTAACCTATTTATTGATAAATGATAATGTATAGCAGCTCCATTGTTTTCAAGGTGCCAAGGCGAGGCTAGGCAACAGGGGAGTGCCTTGTTGCAGTAAAAAACATGTATCCTTGGGTAGTTCCCTAGGCTCCATAACCATGTTTCCTTAGTAATTATCCATAATTTTTCATAACAAAAGTATAAACTTCATGTTTAAATATAAAAAATCAACATATCCATGAGAAGAAAAAGAAGAAAGAAGAGATGAACCCCTATTTTTGTTATCGGAAAAGAAGAAGAAGAAGAAGATGTGTTGATTAGAAAAAAAAAAATTAAGTTCTTCCTTATTGGTTCAGGTTTTGAAGTCTTTGAGGGTTCAATACAGCAKTTAGCARTGTYWGTRTTGAWTMARCCMTARMAAATAAGAAAATAATAAAAAGAAATTAGTATATAAACACACAAAACGAATATTTTAATTTAATAATGCCTATTTTATTATTATAATCTCAAAAAAATAAGAATATAAAAGTACAAAAGTTTTCGAGGCAAGCCTCTAAGGGCACCTTGTTGCCTAGGCGTTGACAACTATGACCATTCATCAAAAAGAAAAACAACTATGACCAGCTCTTATGAGTGATGTCGTAGCTACAGGGTTAATATTTATTGCAACTTCACTAAGACATTTTCTGCCAGTTTCCATCATGCTTAGAAGTTAGACCACTTTAGTTCTTAAGTCATTTTTCGGTATTTCAGATGGATGTGCAAAATTAATGGGATTATTCTCCAATTGTTGATAATTTATCTACTTATTATATGTATAAATATTCATGATTTAATTTCTTTAGTATCTTGAGTAGATCAATTATGTCCAGGTTTTCTTGTCTTAACTGCTACCTTATGCATAAAGTGGTCTTATGCATAAGGTGGCGATTTCGCCACCCAAAATTCATATTGAATATAACATAGGAATATTTCTTTATTAAACTATGTGATTGACATTTTATGGTTTCAATTGCTTTTTTTTTCCATGCAGCCTCAGTTCCTGATTCTGTAAAGGCAGAATTGTTACAACGCATACGGACTTTTCTCGTGTCAGCCGCTCTTTGATTCAACAGGCATATTCTCTGCAACTGCAAAAACTCCACTCGAGCTTCATAATTTTCTTCTAAGATGTGCTTCTATGCTCTACGGCTGGGAAGGTGTTTGAAGTCTTGCAATGTCAGTCCTGTTTAAAGTCTTGACGGAACCTGGCTGTCGTTTAGAATTACCCTTCTGCTTGGGTGAACTGTCTGTTGTATGCTTCAGGTAATGACAGTATAGCATACATGAGAAAGGAAACAAATGCCTTGCTGCAGAAGCTTCAAAGAACTGATGTTGTATTTACTTTAGGGCTTAAATGATTGGGGTTTAGTTGTATTGCTCTGATCTTTGTGTCTTACTTCATGGTTATAATCTTGGATGTGTGGTCCAATTTGGCTTTTGGCCCATCCATGGTCCATACAGTCCGATCTTTGGGTCACCTGTATCTTGGTCACGTTAAACTAATGAATCTTTATCAGTCTTGGTCAGTAGGTCACATGTCGAAGCCAGATTAAAGTAGCTTTTTCAGGATCTACTAGTACAGTAATATGCTTTCCCAACTTTACATCTAAGGAAGGAGCCAAGGGTAGAACGATAGGCTCAGGCTGCCTCCCCAAGTTGATGAAATGGGTGCTTCGCATAATCATATTTTATGTGTCGGACTCGTGCCCATTGCCCAACCACTCTAATTCCACGGATCGTCTAGGTGCCCCTTTTTCTGGGAGAAATCTCACTTTAACCCATCCTCTGAGTAAATTTTAACTGTATTCATATATATTCACAATAATTTAAAACTTTTCCCGTTTGTGACACGACGTATCCCCCGTTGTTGGTATCAACTATCAAATATCAATACACCAAATATCACTGTTCTGCAGCAAATTTTAAATTTGTTAAGTGGTAGTAAACGAATGGGCCCGGCCCAAAGCCTGAGTCTAATACAGTGTAAATCAGGCCAGAAGCTCGGCCTGTGAACAGGTCTATCTAGAGTCATTGATCCCAAACTTTATTTTGGACTTGTGGATTTCAGAACTTTGCTCTCACTCACCATTAGCATTCTATTAATTAATTTCATGAAATATTACTTTTAAACATTTTCCAAAACCCCAAACTTCCTTTGGGATATGAAACCATTTTTCCCTTTTAAATTAACTTTTCTAAAATCTTAGCTCTCGTCTCTCAGCCACCGATCAGTGTATTGACACTCGCAATGTGTAAATTTTGTGTATTGAAGAGTATGGGGTCATTGAAACTAGGGTTCGACTATGATATGGAAAAAATAACTGACCAATATTAATGGGTCAGGGGACAAAGTGAGTACAAGGTATATCATTGATTCCACAGCCTGCTACACAGCATTCACCCGTTCAGCTAATGCAATGGCCGAATCCAGCTCTCCATAACGAACTTACAATGAAACTGATAGGGAGACTTAAATACGTACTAGAGTGCAGAGCACAGTAGCTTTACCCTCTATTTTAATGAAACAAATCTGTGATTAAATCAGCTATTCGTTTTTCTTATTTTCTGCAAGACAGAAGCAGGACTTGGATTGTTTGGTACATAGAACCGTTTGCCATAAATGGAACCACCTCATTGCCACGCTGTTTCCGCAGAGGCGCAGACAACCTGGATTGCCTTTCGAAATTTTTTCGCACGTGGTTTGGACTTTGGCCGTGATGCCAGAAGAGGATGAGCAACCATAGAGGAAAGACTGGTCCTGACCAGGAAGGAGCCCTATGACCCTATCCAATGTCCGAATGGGCATGGACCTCTCGTCTTCTCATTTCACAGTGGTTTTTCTTTTTTCAAGTTAAATTATTTTTATTAACCGCATTTGACTAAAGTTAAAACCAGGGTATAAATTAGACGGTTAGGTCGGGTTAAAGGACCAATCAAGACCAAGCCCTAAAATTGCTGGCCCAAATCTAAACAAAATTCTATCATCTCCGTAGCAAAGATACAAGGAGCAGTTTTAACTCTTGACGCCCGCTAGTGAGAAGGTTAAAGTAGTAAGATAAATATAGCTGCAAGCAGGAGAATGAAACGAATAATCCCCGAACAATCTGGCGGAGGCAGGCTGTAATGTGAATAAATATGTAAAAGCACTCTTCTGCATCTATAAGGAGATGGATAGCACACAAACAATAAAGATGCCCACTTACAAGCACGTAAAAAAACTTGTTAACATATCAAAAGACTTGGCTCAATTTCACGGGCTTGGCCCTTACACGCTCTTCTTTCAACATTAAATTCTGTTTAAACTATAACATCATAATATAGGATTTACCCACTTCTGAGGTATCTTAACAGTACAATCTACATGACCATTCGACAGGCACGTATGCCTTCCCGGGACTCTTGTTGAGAAGTTCAAGTTCCAAGTTCCAACCCAACGGACTTAAGCCCCTAAGCTTGCGCTTCATGGAAAATCTGGGAAAACCACATATGACACACCACCACAGACAAAATACACAATTCGTCCTCATGTTCCCATAGCATGGAGAGCCAATAGACTGTTTCACATGCTTCCTTGTTCGCACAAGTCTAGTAAAGCCAATGTCTGTAAAAGCAAGAAACAGAGCTTACAACCATCAGCTTAGTAAGAGAATATAGCAATAGAACATGTAAGAGTAATGGCAGATGGCAGCTTCATACTACTACATAAAATATAAATGGAAAGCAATGATCAATAGAATGTGTGAGAATGTTAATGCAAGGGTTGATATGAGAAAACTTTGTATGCCATCACTCAACAGATGACAATCATGAGAGTGCGCGGATTGGTGCCTGAAGCAGAAATGAGAAGAAGATGCTGAAACATGGGATTATGGCCAAATCACGCTCAACATTCTTTCAATCTCACCTCTGGAACAGAGAGCTCAAGACGAAACTTGGGACCATCATAGTGATGTAAAACTGGCCTGAAAGCATCTTCCTCCAACGCCTTGCAGAGCTTCCTAACACGGATCCTTACCTACTTGGAAGAAAAAGGAAAAAAAGTTAATGCTCTTGCTCTGGCAAAAGACAAATGGTTCCAGTTCAGCCATACTCAATTTACCTGTGCAGGAAACCTTGATTCACCTTTACATTTTTTATCTTCCCAGGCTGTCGGATCGATGTTAGATCCCCCAAAACTTGCTGCCTGTAGGAAAGCACAACCAAATAAGACAGAAGAACAATATCCAATTTATCCACAAATAAATAAACTTGCTGCCTGATTACTGACTCATCAGATTGCCTTGGGATATGAAAATGAAATAAATAACAGGCATAAGAGCGAACCTCAAATATCCCATGAAGTTGGTGAGTGGTATAGTTATAAAGAAAGAGGGGCAACCCAGGTGTTATTGCCCGAACAGAATCTCTGTATCTTGGTGGTAAACCTGCCATGCCAAGAAAACAATCAGCTTAAATTAAAAACATACATTGTAAGAACCCCTTCAAAGCATTTTCTCAGAAAACTTAAAGCCTAAAAACGGACCAGACTGGACGCATGTAAGCATTTTCTCAGAAAAGAAAGCAAATGACAAAGAAAAAACTTAATCTGACCAAATAATTGCCGCTTCAAATCTTCCTGCATTGTGTCATTGTTACACACGAAAATGTATCCTCCAAGGACCTCATTCCGTGGAAGTGTCTCTGTCGAAGGCAAGGTCTTGAACCTTTTATCAACAGCATTGTTATTGTTGTTGTTGTTGTTGTTATTGTCATTGTCATTGTTGTTGGTGTTGCTGCCGTTAAGATCTTTGTTGTTGTGATTACTGTTGCTATACTTGCTATTGCCAATTGCCATGTTTACATTTATGGTATTATTTCCGCTGCTTTTCTGATACAATGTGTTGATATTATAAATGCCAGTTCTCAAAGAACTCTTGTTCAGAGTTTCATTGATTTTGGAGTCCAAACTCAGCATGCCGAAATTGAAATTCTGAAATTTGTTGTCTTCTTGAAATCCACTTTTCTCTCTTGGCCTTGTTTCCACTGGGGCCTTTGAAAGATCAAGGTTGTTTGTACGTTCTCCCTTTGACTTCATCTGCTCTGCAAGTTTAGAAGCAACCATAAACCACTGGTGATCCTCCGAAGCCTTAGATCGTCCTCGAAGCTCATCGCCCAACTGCCAAAAACTATACTGGCTCTCCATCATTCTGAACCCTAAAAAGATAACAGACATGATAGATGCACGGTTAGATAGATTGATTGATCGTTAAGTAAATGGCACAATCATTTTAGTCCAAAACTCATGTCATTGAAATATACTCCTGAAATATATACAATAGAAGCCATGTCAAAGCCTCGTCAAAAACATAATTATATTGTAAAACGGTTGGTGATTGATCTTATTTAATTAGATTGCACAGAGCTGACTATTATGATCATATGAGAAAACAAGAGAATAATACAATTGGCATCGCCATGTTGTGACCTAACCATTTTCACATGCTTATGAAAGAACTTCAAACATGAATTAAAAAAAGAAAAAAGAATTTCAAACAAACAACAAAAAACAATTGCAAAATACAAAGATGACTACTGGGGAAACAGGGGCAGGATATTACTAGTCCTGATGTATATCCCCCCGCCCAATGGTTAAAAAAATTTAAAAAAAAAAAAAAAAAAAAAAGAAACGTTAGCATTCTAATAAAACAAACAAAATTATACTAAGAAATTAGGAATGGAAAGGATAGGGCAAAAAAAAGGAGGAAAAAAAACTGCAGTCCATAAATCATGAGCCCGACAATATTATCCTAAACGCATTTTTATGGGAACATCAAAACATGTCCCACCCTTCACGAAAATGAAGCCATATTCAGTTTTTGACCCGCTACCATTGCGCTTCCGTTCTGAAAACAGCTAAAATATATCACAGCTATTTTAATCACCGGGATGGCAAATCTCACTTCAACAAATATAGAGAAACATTCATGAAAAACAAACTCCACGAGAAGAAGGTTACATATACAGAACCAAAGCTAAACCTGCTTAAATGAAACTCATTTAATATTATTTAGTTCGGTTGGCATTTTGTTCCAAAAAAACGACAGAAAGAAAGAGAAAGCCATAAAATAGGCAAAATTCTGAAACCTGGATCTAGCATCAGCTCATTAACACCGGAAACACACACGGGAACCAGAGACAAGAGTATCAGAAGATAGGTTTAACTGAAAATGCAAACAAAGCATATCTCACTGACCTTAATAAGAGAACGATAACGGAGAAATTTAAGGCTCGATCTTCTAGATCTGCTACAATAAACTCTTTAATAGGAGGAACCCTAGATTTGGGGATCCAAATAAGAGAAGAAACCCTCCTTTTTCTCCTCCGCCCAGCAAGGGAAAACACGACAGAGGAAAATTGAAGGCTGATCCTTTTTCATTTATAGTAGCAACGATACGAAAAGGCCCTTGAGGCTTTAGAGAATTACATTTATGTCTTAAGTTTCGAAATTCGCTTTAGTGTGACGAAATTGCCACTGCCACAATCCTTGATCTTCCTGGCTTTCGTGGCCCGTGGCTCTCGGAATTGCCGAGATGTCCACGTCCACTAGGCACCTGAGTAGCGAGTACTCTGGAGATGTGAACTCCAGAGTAGCAGTGATTAGCTGACGTCAGGAGTTGTCACTCAGCTGTTCTGTTCAAAAGAAGACTATCCAATAAGGCGCTCTCATCGGTACTCCCACGTGTATATCGAATTCACATCTGCGCCTCAATAACGCCCCACATACACATCTCAGCGTACATAACGAACATTTTCATACTTATATCATCGGGAGATGTTCCTAATACACGGTTGGGATATGTTGTAGGGCGTATTGTGGAAGTGAAGTTGTGTATATTTAGTATTAGATTTAAAATATATGAATAAGAGTGTCAATGGACCAATTTTGGACTGAATTGGAGGATTGGATGGATCAACAAAGCATATTACTGGTTCAAAATATTTATTACATTTAATTGGACCTTGTCCATTCGTAATAATTTTATAATGGGTTAGATTGGATTAAGCCAACGTAGGATTGGCTCGTTGGTGTGTTAGCTGGTTTGTTTTAGTATTGGTGTAGAATCAAATCCTTCAATCATTACTTTAGGGAAAAAGAGATCAGGGGAAAGTTATTAATGGTGTATAGCATAGAATACTAACAAAATGGACCAGGATTGGATTGAAATCAATCTAAATTAAAACGAATTTGAACTTGAACAATCCAACATTGAATTAGACTGGTCCAAAATATTCATTGGATTGGATTAGACCTAATCCATTTATAATAGACTTACATTAGATTAGAACGAATTTGACCAAATCCAATCCAATTGACACTCATATATATATATGAACTTCTCAACCAACGAATGATAAACACGTAGGCACTCAGTGACATAATGAAACTATCACTCTAAGCAGCTAAATGTTGTATCCGTGGTTGGATTGGAATATCTTGTGATCAAACATTCTTGGATCATGATCACTAAGTTGGACCGTCGATCTCTGACTTTTGGGCCACCACCCATCGAAGATGCAGTCACCATGCCAGTTGATGGCTTATTATTTTGTGTGATTTTGAAACCTTGAATTGAGGTGGGACCTCTCGGCTAGATTAATGCATGAATTGAAATCACATAGTAACCATATGAAATGCTACCTTGGGGCGTTAACCAACCAAATAATATGGGATATTTATTCCCAACTTACTTATATTAAGTTTGTCAATTTTAAATTAATGAAGTGGCATGTAATGGACATAATGATCAAAATTTCGAAAACTCCATATAACTATGACGATAGTGGATAATCAATTCTTTGGTAACATTCTCATTTTTAAATCCTTGGGCTCTTCGTCTTTGGTAGGTAAAAGCAGTTACAACGTTAACATTTTTGGTGAAGACTCCACATCCATTATCTACTTCACACTTGAAACTTGAGAGCTTTTCCCGCTTTCTTCAGTTCCTCTCTCTCTCCCTCTTTCCTTCTACCAACTTTCTTTCATCAGCTTGATATATCATCATCTGCTTTTAATTTGATGAAACCAAAAGCCGTGCATTGTTCATTTCAGATCATCAGACTGTAGAAAATACGGCCGGCCGCCTCATCTCTCAAAGTTGGTGACGTGCCTTTGTTTATTTCTTTATCTCCCATTGGAATAATGGAAAGAGCCTTCCTCTCCTTGTCCATGTACTTATTGCAGCGCCCGAGTGGAACAAACCTTCATCCATTACCACATTTAAGTTTTTAAGTTTAATCCATGTTGTTTGCTCAATGTGGCGGAGAAGGTAAGCTAGGGGGAATGGGATTTCTTCACTGTTACATTAGTTTGTAGTCGCTAGCAGCCTACGTCAAATAAAAATGAACACCCATATATTCTAAAATCAATATAGAACATTTGGCATTTTATCGCCTTTTTACGGTTAAAATGTCCCTACAAATATAGAGTTTTTAACCGCAAAATGAAGATAAATCCTTACAATAAGAAATGTCAAATGCGTCTTAAATGCTATTATAAGTTAATTTTAATTAGTACAGAAGTGGCTTTTCTGTCCAGCTAGCACTATAGTCAATGGTATTATGGAAAGGGGAGCCGATTCTGAGTGGATTTCCCGGACGTCGTGTATAAAGAAACCATAACTACATTCCTCACATCTATATATGGTAGTTTAACGGGTGCCAAATGCCTATCAATCGGAGATCAAACATTAATGCATTAACTTCAATTTCACAGCAAGGAAAAGAACTCAGAAAATAAAAAATAAAAAACTGACTGTTCACATTCGACAGCATCTGCCGTCTAGAGGGCTCGTAATTACCATGTGGACAGCAGACGCTATGGATTATGGAACGTAAATATCACATTTTTCCCAAAAAAGAAAATAGATATATCATTATTTATGGCGTCAATACTCAATTGATGAGGGCGGATTTGGCCCTCCAATGATATTGTGACACATGGCACCTCGAAATAATTAGGTGACACCTGGAATCACTTAAGCAACAACTTGTCTTAGTCAAATTGATGGTGTCTCACCTGACGGCCTGGCACGGGTATGAAATGGCGGCCTGTCACAGGCACGAACTAGCGGCCTGGCCCAGGCGCCGACCTAGCGACTTGCGAGACGTGCTCACTGACAAATGAGGCATGCATATCCTAACACTCCCACGATCCTTAGAAGTTGGCCCACGTGCCGAACAATTCGGAGGGTGGTCAACGTGCATAGCGGTTGCCTCAGGGAATCTCGGAAATCTCGGATGCGGTGGATGAAGTCCACGCCAAACAATGCCTATATAAAGGCACCAACCCCAATGGCATAGGGGGAAGTAAGCATATTCTAGCTCTAATACTTTTGTGATTTTTATCTCGCAGTCTACTATAAGAGTACTGACTTAAGCATCGGAGCGACCTTGCCGGATTAGTCACCCCGGGTCCTCTAACATTAATTCATTGTAGGTCTCTAAAGAACTACGAAGCTCAACAATCAATCCAGCTCGGCACCTAACCCGCTAGCTCGGCCCTGTCAATTCGGCACCTAACCTGCCCAGCTTGACCCAATTAACTCAACACCTAATCTACTCCCAACTCAACATCCAAGTCCTCATCCAGCAAAAATTCATTTCGACCTCTGAATCATCAACCACTTAAAAGCAGAACAAATGATGAATTACTTAGAAAAAAAATTAATACATCACCAAAAATCGATTCATCATTAAAAAAAAATGGTATTCAAATGAACAAAAATTTCAATAATACCCACGCTAATTCACGTGAAAGAAACAGTTTTGGATGGGGCTGAGCTTTAGCATAAACTATCAAACAAGTCAAAGTATGTGGTGGGATATGTAAATATATTGACAGACGAGATGAATGTTATCAATCTCTGCATCAAATTTTAGTGGTATTAATTGCCCGCCACTGGTTTTGTGGGGAACATCATCATTCACGGAACCTTCACATGATTTTGAAATCAGATAAATGGGTAAAACTATGAATGCCGGAAAAAAGGTCTGATATGCTAAGAGATTTTGACCAATCAAACCGCCACCCGTGAACTTTGAACTTTGGATGAATACCCCTTCATTGGCTATCACTTTTAAATGATAACTTAGCGCTGCATCTGCTCGTGAACGTGACAAAATTAAAAACTCTCTTTTTCTTTCACCGATCTTCACGGTCACTTAGTATAGACTTTTGGCTGCCCAACACAACCTTAGAATAAATGATGAAGCAAGAGCCATATAATTCTCATAAAAAAAGTCAAATAAATCAATAACCATAGATATGGCAATTTGACTTGTCTCAGTAGGGTTTCACTCCACCCTGCCTTCGGTTGAGGCGGTTTTTTTTTTTTTTTTTACCAACTGATCAGTATTTGGGATGGGTATCAGGGAAACATGAACTCTGAGGACCGGGAACAGGGTGGGGATGATATTTGTCCACCCACCCAACCCTAACCTTAAAATCCCGAGTTAGATTTCAAAAAATAAATAAATAAAATAATTTTATTTAAGTTTCAAAAAAATAAATATATACATATATAAATAAAAAATGATGCGAACAGGGCAAGACAAATTCGGAGATGTTTTTAGCCCTAATTTGAATTTGGGATCAGATATATAACATGCAAAACCCAGCCTTGCCCCACCCTGTAATCATTTCTGAATAACGACAAGACTATTGAAATCTGAACTTGATAACTGTTTTATGGGCAATGGGAACAATCATTTTGTTACATGTCAGATATAAATACAAACGAGCGATTGAGTGGTGTGGGCCATGTGCACCTTGTGATTGGCATGGAGCAGAATAACTGATCCCACACCTTATAAAACAATTATCAAATTCATTCATAAAACTATTTGTCATAGGATTTTTTTTTATTTTGTATAATTTCCAAATATTAAATACTGCAGGGAGCCAATGAGGGAAGAGAGGCATGGCTGATCTGAACCATTCATCAAAGAAGACTTATGCTATAAGGAGTTAATTAAGGGCCCATTTGGTTCAAATCGGAATGGGCCATAATGATTCTGATCCCCCCCCTTAGAAATGAAATCTCACTCCAAATTGATTTTAATTTTTTATTCAAATTCATGTCTGAACCAAACATATTATGGAAATAGACCATTCTAATTCTATTTTTAAGGGATTTTGATTCCGATTCCAATTCTGACCATAAACCAAATGGACCCCAAGAGTTATTTGATTTTAATCGAGATTGTATACCAATGACCCACACATTCGTATCTCCCATTCGTTCCATGTCCTATATTTTTCCTTTTTTTTTCTTCTCTCTTTTTTTTAATTTTCTAGTTAACAAATTCAATTTTCAATTAAAATAAATTTAATATGGGGTTTTAAACTTTTTCTA